CCTCGGGTCTCGGGCCAGGACGCACGGTGACCCTGGGGAGAGCGCTGGGGAGAGTGGGTTCCCGGAGCCCCTTCTGTTTTTCCCATCTTGTGGAAGCCTGGAGTGCAGGGAGTGGGTCTCTATGAGCCTTCTTAAGGCCCGGCTGGGGAAAGGAGAGAGAAGAGGGCTCCTCTGAAAGATGTCAGAGGCATCTGTGGTGATCCCTGTAATCCTAGGACTCTGGGACAAGAGGCAAGAGGGGCGCAAGCTCGAGCCTAGACTGAGCAGTTTAACAGTTTAGAGATACCGGGTCTCAAAATTAAAAAAAAAAAAAAGTAAAAAGTACTGAGATGCAGTTCAGGGCGATGGCCCTGGATTCCATCTCCAGTACCGGGGAAGAGGAGAAAATGACGCGTAAACCCAACACTTGGCCAGGAGTCCGCGAAACTCTCGAGCCAGTCTCTCGAGATCCATTCAGAGCTCCGACGAGCGAGCCGGCGGTCATAGCCCCAGGCAAGGAGACCCCCGGGGGCGCCGCCGCGACTCTAAACCCGAAGTGTCACCGGGAACAGGTACCGGGCTGCCAGACGTTCTTGTTTTAAAAAACCTTTTAGTATCCAACATTTAAAACATACAAAATATAATGAACCCGCCCTCGAGCTTTTGCTCATCGACCAGCTTCAATAATGGACAACTCAATCTTCTTTCACCTACGTCCACCCACCTGCCTCCTCCTGTATTACTTTGGAGCCAATCTCTCCTACATCTTTTTGTCTGTTACTGTCCTCTCCTTATCTACAAAGGGGGTTGGTTCCAGGACCCCCGCGGGTACCCAAGCCCAGGAAATTCAAATCCCTTTTATAAAATGGCTTAATGTTTGCATTTAATATGTGCATATCCTCCTGGTATTTTATTTGTGTATTTATTTATTTGGTAGTACTAGGTATTGAATCCAAGGCTTACACACCAAGCTATATCCTCAGCCCATTCATTCACTGGTTTAGGACAGGCTCTGCCTAGGTTTAGGCTCTGCCTAAATTTCCCAGGCTGAGCATTGAACTAACTTGCAGTCCTCCTGCCTCAGCCTCTCAGAGTTCTGGGATTACATGTGCAGGAGGACTCCATGCCTGTACTTTCTCCTGTGCAGTTTAAATCATCTTTATGTTATTCATAATACCTAATACAATGTAAGTGCTATGCAAATAACTGTCATATTATTTAGGAAATAGGGACCATAAAAAAATTATACATGTTCAGCACAGACACATTTTCCCTATGATGTTTGATCTGTGCTTGGTTGAATACACAACTGCAAAGCCTGTGGATAAAGGCTATGTATACCTTTAGTGTATGTCTAAGGACTCTTTTTAAAAATACAACCACATTTTGTTCTCCTAAAAATATTTCCTTAATATCAAAAAATGAGTCATCACTGAAATTTCTAAATGACTCATAAATGACACGTTAAATAATGTTGCTGATATTTTTTCTTTTATCTTTGGTTGTTGAATTTAAAATTGTTAAGTAACAAAATATAAGGTATACATTCGTCATTTAAGATTTTGTTGGCACTGGCTCCAAGCTTGTATTGCCAAAATATACACTGTGTTTACTTTTCTTTACGAAGAAGGTGGTGCCTGGGTTAGAAGTCTGTAAATTAATCTCCACATAGAGACTCCACACTGACCATTCTCCGACTGGACCAGAAAATGAGTTCTTGTGTAGGATATTTTCTCAGAGGATTAAAAAGATAGCAGGGGGAGGGAACACTTAATCCTGTGTTTCCTAGTATAATGCATTTAAAAGGTTACAGTTCTTTGCAAAATGTGGTAAGCACTTTGGTGTTAGTATTTTCCATGAAATTTTTATTCTTTTCTAAATAATTATAAACATCAGCAGGGTTCAGCTCATATCTGTGTGATCTGCAGTGGGTTATGACTGAAGTTGGACTGGTAATGCAGTTTTCTTGCCTTTTGATAGCTGTTCAAGAAAGAGAACCCTTGGTATGGTGAAGAGTCTTCTGCCCGTGCTGGACTGGCTCCCCAAGTACCGAGTCAAGGACTGGCTGCTCAGTGATGTCATTTCAGGAGTTAGTACTGGACTAGTGGGTACCCTGCAAGGTAAGGCTTTGCTGGCTGGCTCCAGAGATTGACAGTTACCGGCTTCAGCAGCAGTTCATGATGCCCCTCCCACTGGTACCAATGCTTGTTCACATTCAAGACTTTCATTTCCTGCTGGAGCCTCTTGGTAGAGGAATACATTTCTTTTCTCCTCTTCTGTGGATGTCTCTTCCTGGGAAATGCTGCTGCTTCTCTAGCTGTGTGGCTCCAGCCTAGAGGCATATATCAAGCAGTGGCATTCTGAATTTACTGACCATAATACACAGGAAGAAATACATCCTGCATCATGATCTGTGCACCCGTCACTAAAGTTATCCTCACTACAAAAGAGGGACTCTCTATTGTTTTGCTTTTCTGCCCCCCAATTCTGAGGTTTGAACTGAACCCAGGGCCTTGTGCATACTAAGAAGCACTCTTCCACTAAGCTACATTCCCAAGCCCTTTTTATTTTTTTATTTTATTTTTTATTTTTTGGTACCAGGGATTGAACTAGAGGCTTTGCGCTTGCAAGGCAGGCTACCAAACTGCTGAGCTAAATCCCCGACCACCCAAGCCCTTTTTAAATTTTACTTTCAGGCCTCACAAAGTTGCCCAGGCTGGTCTTGAACTTGTGATCCATGTGTCTCAGTCTGGGATTATAGGGTGTGGCTCCATGCCTGGCTGTTCAGCTTATATTTTTAAAAACTGATTATTTCAGGTCATTAAATTATTCACATTTACACATCAATCTTGACCTGCAGTATGAAACTGGTTTGAAGGAAAGTGAAGAAAATATCTTAGCTAGACTGTATATTAGTATTTTTTGCCTCCTCTCTTATTTACCCTCGAAAATATCCCAACATGGAGTTCTTTTGGAAAAGTGGATTTATTCCATAACATATTCACAAGCATCTTAGAAATCTGTTACTTAGCTGGTTTGTAGCAGCTGAGCATTCTCTTCTGTCCTTCATCCTCAATGTTGATTCTGCACTGACCCCTCTCCCCAATTGTCCAAACTTTCCAAACCATGGAAATAGAAGAAAGCCTTCTTATTTATTGTAATTCTATGGAGTACATAGTATGTGCCAGACACCAGATATACTAGCAAAATTAAGATGCATCAGCTGCCGTCCAAGGCCTCTTGGTCCAGTGGAGAAATGGATGCCCACAAAGGAGAGCACTGCCTGCTAAAGGAGTGACAGTGAGGTGTGCTCACCCCACTCTTTGGGGACTGGGAACAGGGTTGAGTTGTCAACGCTGAATTTCCCTGATGGTTAAGTCTGAGCTTGCCAAGTGATGGAAAGTAGAGAGGATGTGGATGTGCATAGAAACATGACTTGAAAATAGTCTATTTCAGGAGTTAGTAATAAATGTTGAGCAATATTGTGAGCTAAAATCTGGCTGGCGAACTCAGAGCAGGCCAGGCAGATTCCCACCGAGAACAAGGATGTTCTGTGGCCCCACAGGGTGAAGCATGTTCTCAGTCCTGAAGGCACAAGACGCAGAAGGAAGGGGCCACCCTGTCCACAGCAGACCAAAGGGCTGTGATGGGGCACTGCCCTGTGACTCCTGGGGAAGGAGCACATGTTTAATTCATGTTTGGTTAGCAAGCACTTAGCACAGAGATTGGCATACAATCAGTGGCTCCATAAATAGTTAGCGAAGAAGACTGAATATATATGAAAAATTATACTCCAGATCCAAGTCGCCCTAGTTCTCAGAGGTAGCTTAGGATTAATTTTGTTGAACATGCACTAGACACTATACAAAGGGTTTGGACAGGCATCTCCTTTAATCCTCACATCATCCCCACAAGGTAAGTACTATTATTATCTCTTTTTTCAATAGATGAGAAATCTATTAAATCTTGCCTAAATCATGAAGCTCCTAAGTGGGAGAGCTGGGATTTGAACCCAGAGGCTAATTGCTACAATCTTAGTTAGTACATTGTACACAGTTCCTTACTTTATGGCTAGTATATTTTTTCAGAAACATTATATCTTCAAAGTTATCCTTGTACGCTGGGAGGTTAATCCAGCTCATTTGTACATTTGGTTATCATCTGTTTGTGCCATAAATATTTATAGATAATTCTGTATGCTAGGTATTCAGCATGAGGATACAGTGATTTGCTACAAGGACAGATATAATACTGACCTCATTTCCAATGGTAGAGACAGGAGTGAAATAAGTATAAGTATAGAAAAATGGTTATAGATTGTGATATTCATTGCTGTGGGTTAAATATGCTGTTGCAAGAATTACTTTGGGAAGAAGGTCTGTTTTAGATTCCAAGGCCAAGGAAAGCTAGGCTGAAGAGGTGAAATTTAGACAGAGATGATGAGCTAGTCATGTGATGAGAGTAAGAAGAGCACACCAGGTAAATATCAGAGGCCCTGGGACAAAAAGTGAATTGCACTTTCCAGGGAGGAACAGAAAGAATTCTGACGAGTGTTGAACACAGGGGGAGAGAAGGCTGGCCAGCCAGATTAGGGTGAAGCCAGGGAGGCACCCCAGTCCCTCCCGATACCCAGCCTTGAAGACAGTGTGGCAGCGTGGACCAGAACAGGCAGGACATGGAGAGATCTGCAAGATTTGCAATATATTTTGCAGCAAGAATCGCTGATAGATTCTGATGAGTGCAAACAAAAATCAGACAATTCTAAGGTTACTGGCTTGTGCAACTGGGTAGGTGACGATGTCATGTACTACAGTGACAAAGACTGGCTGCCAAGGGGATCTGAGGTGGAAAATCAAGAATTTAGCTTTGAGCACATCAGGTCTGAGGTATATATGAGACAGTTAAGTGGACCTGCCAAGCAGAGAAGTTGGAGCCACTACTTGTAAGAAGGTCAAGGAGAGCAGGGAGGCTCTGGAATAGAGGTGATGTTTAAAGGAGTGGATACCTAGGCAGGAAGGGCAAATGGGGACGGCAAGGAGGCTGGTGTATTTAGAAGCAATTTAGAAATGAGGAGAGGGAACAGCGAGCCAGAGAAATTGGGCTTAGAAGTTGGAGAAAGAGAGCAATGAGAGGCATGAAGGAACCAAAGCCAAGAGAGAAGTGTACAAAAAAACAGAGGGTAGAGAATGTGAAGGAACACAGACCGCATTTAAGAAATTTTGTGGCGACTTGGAGGGAAGGACGAAGGTGCACTGAAGGAGGATTTGTTTTCCTTTTAACTGCCCTCAAGCATATTGTGAACTGGTAGGAATGACCTGGCAGAAAGAGAGAGAGAGTTGTGGTCCAAGACGCAGAGGAGAAACTTCTAGAAGCAAAGTCAGGAAAAGGGTCAAGTGTGGATGGGTTCCAGGACAGAAGCAGGAGAGAAAGAGATCCCCTCCATTTTCAAAGGAATATGACTGCTCTGAAGGTGCAGATGCAGAGGTGTGGACTTTGGGTGAAAAGCCACCTGGGAGCATCTCTTGTGGATTCTGTTTTCACTGAAGTTTAAGATCCGTCTCTTGAGTTGAGTTTAGTGGAGAGGAGGATGGGTCTGAATAGTTGTGAGAGAGAGAGAAAGAGAAGAGAGATACATCGCTGGGGAATAGAGCTGGCTCCCCAGGCGATGTTGAGGGCCTATGTGGGGCTCCAGATCACACATTACAGGAGAATGCTCGGTCCAAGACCAAAGGCTGTCACAGAAAGGTGGTGGATGTTTTGTTTTGCCAGGTGGGAATTTTGCCAGATAAAAGGAAGAAAAGGAGGAAGGAATGAAGCAAATAGGGAGGGAGGCAGGGAAAAAGGGAGAGAGACAGACAGACAGAGACAGAGAACCAGAATCAAGGGAGTATTTGGGAAATTCCATAGACTTGGTACTGCATTTTCAGGGATGGTGAGTTCCATGACCTAATCACAAACTCATCGGAGATGACAGGCTCAGGTGTCCAGGAAACCAGAGTTGCTAGGGAAAATGAGGTCTTTTAAAATTTTTTTATTTAAAAATGCCTATTAGGGCAACAGAAGATCCATGGAATCCTTTTAGTTCCATCTTTACTCACAGCTAACGGGAAGCCAGTTATCTACTATCTTTAACATGTACGTACTGCTTTATTTAATAAACAATACAAATTTATTTCTCCTAGTTCTTGAGGATAGGATGTCTCGCAGAGGTTCTGGTGTGGGCCCATCTTCTTGCTGTGTTCTCAGCCAGCAAAGACCTTGCCTTGTGGATGTTTTTGAATGTCTGGTAGCACCTGTTTTATCAGTGTATGGCCGGTCCTAAACCCGACAGATAGCAACACTGAGATTCTACAATTTACATCAGTGGTTTAGGTTTCTTTGCAAACTGTATGATTTCAAAATAGTCGTATCAAGCTCCTTTGTAATAAAGATTATTACAGTATCACTTAAGTAGCAGTTGTCCCTAAACAGTCCATAGGAAAACTGAAAAAGTCTCCATCTTCCAGGCACATGAAGGACTGCAGAGCCCTTTTTAGGGAAATGAAGTTTGAGAAGGACTTGGAAAGTGTCCATAGGAAACAGGCTGTGCGTTCATTCTTTGCTCCTTCTTTTCTTGTTTTTCCTTTGTTGAATCAGCATTTTGTTCTGTTCCATGTTCCCAGGACTACTGATTATTGCAATTCTTTGTAATTTTTTTCCATTAAGTTGTAGGAATTCATTTTAAATAGCCTACCCTTGATTAAAAGGGAATTCATGATAAAAATAGAAGATATTTGATGAAAGATGTGGGAAATGGACTGCACACAGACTAAACAAACAATGCCTCTAAAACTAATGATTATAGAAAAAAATGTTTTCACATTAAAATTCTGCTTTTTATGTTTTTCCCCATTTTTTTTACACAATTACAAAAGAAAAAACTAAAAGCCATAAAATCTTGATTATTTTTCCTCTTTTGGGCCAAATACTCATTTTCCTATAAATTTACTGACCTGTGGAACTTTTCATACAATAACATCTTTCAAGTGAAGGGCCAGGGTTTGAAAAGAAAAAGATGGATTCTTAAAGGGTACAGAGATTGCTCTGAACAAAGAATGATGGGAAAATGGTTTCAGTCATTGATTATGTCATTATCCTTACAGACTCACTCACCTTTCCTCCCTCCCCTACCCCAATTTACATGATCTTTAAGATCAAGAAAAAGGTTTCAGTATTTTAAAATAATTAAAAAGAAATAAAAATTCACATTTAAAAAGGAACATTCAAGTCAGGAAGTATTTTTTCCCATCATGCTTTTCTGCAAACAGGTGTCTGAACCAAAATCCTTGTTGTAATTTAAATATCAAAACATTTGCACCTATGCTAAGATTTTCTAGAATGCAAATTTTTTTTTTTTTTTGATACCAGGGATCGAACTCAGGACCTTGTGCTTGTGAGGGCAGGTGCAATGCCACTGAGCTAAATCCCTGGCCCAAAAATGCAAATTCCATGAGGGAAGAGACTTTTAACAGTACCTGGCACGTAGTTGGTGCAAAATCAATAGTTTTTGCATGAATTAATGTTCACTGTAAAAACTAGGAAATACACATAAGGAGCATAAGAAAAGTATCTCCTCTACAAAGTAGAAATCTCATCCAATCCTGCCATATAGATAATCTGTTCATAGTTTAGTAAATATCCTACTAGATACATAGATGCAGATCTATATAAAGAGTATACAAAATGTCTGGGAATAAACATCAAATTCAGGATTGTGCAGGCAGAGGGAGGTAAGAGGTTATAACAGGAAGAGGATACACAGAATTTCAACTGTGCTGACAATAATTTCTTAAACTGGATTGTGGATACATGGATGTTCACCCTATTTATTATTCATTGTCTTTTTGTACATCAGAATTACTTCATATTATATTAGAAATATTCCCAGATTTCTAAATGTGTACAGCATAATGTTTACTTTTATAAAAATGGGAGCATGTATACTGATCACTTTTTAATCTTTATATTTTTACTTTAAAATTTTTTACTTCACATCTCCCCATGTTACTGTCACATCAATTGCATTCTATAAATTACCTACTCCAAGAAAAATCAGCAACATAGAATTAGAATGGATGGAGTATAATTTAGCCAACCACTTCCTTATTTGAGGACATTAATTCAGTAAATAATTTTGAATGTCTGTAGGCCAAGTCAAGACTGTTATAAGTATAGTCCTTTACTAATGGCACAAGGCTTATAAAGCTTGATCTTTTTCTCACTGGAGTGACGTTGAAGAGCTGAGATGTGTTAAGAGTGTTGACTGCCTAAGTATTTAACCAAGGCAAATCCTCTCCTAGCACCTATGTACAAATACACTGACATGCTGATGTTCTATAGCCTGACTTGCACAGTGCAGAGGCTGCCAGGGTCGTCCACTGGGAGAGTTGGTCTCCACCAGGACAGAGTTGTCCTGCTTGTTGCTAAGTATGTTTGTCATATTTTTTCTTGCTTTGTATCTAACTTCTCTTCCTCAACAGGAAAGGAGAAGGGGCAAGTGCCAAACTGACTTTGAGTCTCAGAACACAGAGGAAACCTGAACTCAGACCAAACTGTTCAGGTGCAAAACTGGTTTGAGCCTTTGGACTGAATTGACCAAGTTGCTAATAAACCTCGCACTAAGTTGTTTTCCCCGCTGATACAATCAGTTGATGACCAGTTTACTGATCAGTGGAATCAACACGCAGCCATGCAATGTTTATCCCAACTGACTTAGCTGCAGTCTGCATAGCCACAGTCTTTATGTAAGATGAAGAAATCAATCAGGCCAGGCTGAAGTGTGGTATTCACAAACCAAGGGTATCCAAGAGAAGTTTTTTTTGTGTGCAGTACAAATAAAACAAAGCTTTGGTTTGTGAACATAATCATTTTTATATACTTTCAGGAATGGCGTATGCTCTGCTAGCTGCAGTTCCTATTGAATATGGTCTCTACTCTGCCTTTTTTCCTATCCTGACATACTTTATCTTTGGAACATCAAGGCACATCTCAGTTGGTAATTATAAGCATATTTTATAATTCTATCTGTTCATTTTTAAAGTTTTTCTGCTACATTATGTACAGCATGCTTTCATGGCTTTGTTAATGTTTTCCAGGGAAATCAGGCTTCAGCTTTGTCTACTTTTCCTATTCAATGATAGTAGTTAGCTTTATATAGGACTCTGCTTTAATGGAGAGTACAAAACTGAAAGACTACAAAATAGAGCCTACCTCCAGATTTTAGCATAGGTGATTTTAAAAAATGTAATAAACGTGACCCCCATATTAGAAAGTTTTCTCTTCCAAAATATAAAGTAACAGGGTAAAAATTTGTACAAGGTCTTTGAACCCACCATCAAATATACAATCATTAGTTTATTAAGAGTAGATGTGTATGTATGTGTGGGTGTGTGTGCGCTACTGGAGATCAAACCTATATGTTTTCTACCACTGAGCTACATCCCAAGTCCTTTTTTTTTTTTATTTTCAGACAAGGTCTTGCTAAGTCACCCAGGCTGGCCTTGAACTTGTATTCCTGCCCCCTGCCTCTGAAGTAACTAGGATTACACCTATGTCACTATGCCTGGCTAAGGGTGTATACTTAAGTCACTAATATTTGAGGAATGGCAAAACAATTTAGAAACCAAGTGTGGCCTCTTGGTATGGATCAAAAAAATAGATTTTCCTATCATTCCTAAATTTTAAGTCTTCTTTTGCTAAAGGTGCTAGTAAATAAATGTTTTAACACTATTTTGTGCCATTTTGTCATTTATACCAGACATTTATCCTTGTTAACTAGACGTGTCTACCTGGATGATTTTAAAACAAATATAGTCATCCACTCTCCTCTTAGTCCATGTCCCTCTGCCTCACTGTATCATCCCAGTATTTAGCTCTCTAGCTTTGTAGATCAGAGACGGGTTATTGAAAGAAAGAGCTTCCTCATCTTAGAGACCAATTACTATCAAATGCTTAACTAGGAGAGCAATATAGTAGTTAATTTTTCTCTTTGGTATTCTCTACATGTAAACATTCCAGGTTAGTAGGTACTGAGTCTTCCTAACCATAAACTTTTCCACGATCAAAGGATATGATCACTATCATCACCATCACTGGTAAAAACATCAGTAGTGGATGGGGCAGTGGCTGAAATAAATTAGAACTTTTAAAAGCATAGATCTTACAGACTGACATTTGACATAAGCCAATCATTTGTCTTGCAAAGAGAAAAAGAGAAATCACACTCTCTTTGCTAATTTGGACCCTATGGTACCAATCAAGCTACTTAGACCCAGAGAACAGGATATCAGATGCTCTAAGAAATGAATGAGATTGTACAGAATAAAACTTAGGTGGAAAGAATAAGAGTTCAATTTACGTGCTGTCTCTACTAGGAAACCTTTGCCAACAACACCCACAGCTGCTTCCTTTCCTCGTGCACATGAGGGTCATATAGAGCATAGGAATAATTGATGAACTGGTTTTTTTCCTCAGGACCTTTCCCTGTGGTCAGTTTAATGGTGGGATCTGTTGTTCTAAGCATGGCCCCCGATGAACGTTTTATCACTCCCAGCAGTAATGGAAGTGCACTGAATACAACCATGCTAAACACCATAAACACTGAGGCCAGAGATGCAGCAAGAGTATTAACTGCAAGCACTCTTACGCTTTTGGTTGGAATTATACAGGTAATAGACTTATACATAAAATATAGATCAGTGTGATTTTGATTTGAAATAATTAATTTTGACACACGCGGACTTGAAAGTTTACATAAAAGCAAAACAAATTAATTTCCTGAACTTCAGTTATTTTCTAACTTAGATTATTTTAGATCAGATACCAGAAGAGTCTGCAAGACCTCACATATCTAGGTTCACTTGTCATCAAAGAAGTCAGAGAGAGAGGAAAAAAAAAAAACATGAATGATTCAATTGAGGGTGAAAGAAGGGACACTGCAGAAATAAGTGATATGATTTTTGCTTTTAAATTTTAAAGGGATGGAGAGGAGGGAAGAGGTAGGACATTAAAAATACAGAATTTTTCCAAGTATTTTTGCAGTGCAAGCCAGCTGTTAAGTGCTTTAATTGGTATTAGGCTTAATTCATTAATATTTCCAGAGTTGGCTCTTCTCTAAGGCAAAAATTTATTTTTCCCCTCCCTCCTTCTTATCCTAGCTTGTGTTTGGAAGTCTGCAGACTGGATTCATAGTGAGGTACTTGGCAGATCCTTTGGTTGGTGGATTCACAACAGCTGCTGCCTTCCAAGTGCTGGTCTCACAGCTAAAGATTGTCCTCAACGTTTCAACCAAAAACTATAATGGAGTCCTCTCCATTATCTATGTGAGTGTCACCTCTTATTCCAGGGAGGGGCAATGTTCTTTCTCTCTTAAGCTTGAGCCTGGAGAATCTATGTTCCCCAGGCACATGTTGAGAGCCAGTGAAAGGAGCAGTTGAATCTGGAGTAACATTGAAGAAGGCAGATTTTGCAAATCATTGTCCTCAGCTGGTAAATGGTTTCAGAAATGTTACTGCACTTAAATGAATGAAAAGAAAGTGTTATAGCAGTATAAAAACAGGTCTGGGATGCAGCAGACTTGGCCAGTCTTGGCTTTGCCCTGATCAGCTAAATGAACTTGGACACTTTCTTGTGTAGGGCAGTGGCTGGAAATTCAGTTTTGGAGCTGGGTGGACCTGAACTCAAATTGTGACTGTACTGTTTACTAGCTGTCTGAGCAAATCAATACACCTCAGTTTCCTACTCTGCAGAACAGGGTTGCTAATACCATCTACTTTGGTGGAATTGTTAAACAATAACAGATGAGAAGCTCTCCATCCAGGGGCTGGCATAACAAGTAAAAAAGTTATTGTTTTGAAATTATTATTTTAGGCCTTCTTTTCATTCTTTCTTGTTTTTAAAATGACATGGTTGGAAATGTATCTCTCAACCCCTTTCAAATTATAAGAGTCCATAAAATATATAATGCACGTCTCTGCAATTATAAATGAGAAGGAACATTAGATTCAGAGAATATCAAATTGCAAGAGAGATGCAAAAGAAGGCTATGGATCACACTAATTTGATTGGAAGGAGTTCTTGGATCTAAATATGTTCTATAGGAAGTGTGTTACTGATGCTTGCATAATGGTAATAATAGTAACACAATGTTGCTTTAGCTTGGAGGGAATGATACTATGAAAAAATAATACACCTGCTGGGTGTGGTGGCACACACCTATAATCTCAGCACTAAGGAGGCCGAGGCAGGAAGACTGAGTTCAAGGCCAGTCTGGACTACATAGTGAGACACTGTCTCAAAAGACGAAAACAAACAAATTATAAGAATGGAGTCTGAGTCTTTTACCCAACTACTAGCTTCTAAAACAATGTAAGGCCATGCATACATATCAAAGAGTGAGACTCAGAAATCTGCTCAATTTCATAACAGTGGCATAAGCCCACATTACCCCATCCATTCAATAAATATTGCTGTGTGCCTACCACAGACAAGACACTACTCTAAGCAGTGGAAATAGAGGACAACAGTAACAGGGCGATTAAGATATGGACTGATTTTGAACTTCAACAGACTTGAGCTAGAGTCTTGGTTCCACCACTCACCACCTTGTGACCTTAGGCACGTTACAATCAACATCCCTAAGCCTTTATGTCCTCAACTGTAAAATAGGGTCAATAGTAGTAGCTACTTCTTAGAGTTGTGAGAATTAAAAAGAGAAAATTCGTGTTAATCACTAAGCACAATGTCGGGTACATAGTAAGAACGTGGTTTACTATTATTTTCATTATCATGGATGACTAACCCCCTGACCTTAGTGTGTACTTCCCAGAGACCCCACACCCATTAACACAGGCATTTTGTGATTCAACATTATTTTACTCATTATTGCTTTTCTCTCTTACCAAATCCTCGGTTCTTTTTGAGATGGTCAGACTTCCTTATTCTGACAGGCGTGGTCCTTTTTGTAGCCTCTAACACATCTTGCTTTTACTTGTGGTATGCTTTCTCCATCAGTTATTCATTTATTCTTTCATTCTCATTCACTAGGCTCACCTACTTGATAAATACTTATTGAATAGCAACCAAATGTGCCAGCACTGTTTTCTCCCTATTCAACCCCCTCAACACATTCCTTACTGAGTGTGCTCACCTCCTTGTGCAAACATTGCTAGGTCTGCAGCTACCCAGGTCATAGGAGGTCTGGGCCCACACCTGATCTGGGATGCCAGCCATTGCTGGATCTCTGCAGAACAGGGGAAATAGTTCTTCTGGTCTCATAGGACTCTTTAAGAAAAAATGTGCTGCAAACGATCCCAATTTGACAGGGACAAAGGAGACCAGGAGCCACCAAATCAAGTCAAATAGTTTCTAAACCAATCAGTATATGACTTATTTCCTGTTGAATGTTATTCTTCAGGTCTCCATTTAGCATGTGCCATAGCCTTTTTAGTGGACTTAATCTTCTTAGAGAAGTTTTAGTCTCATGGAAAAATTGGGCAGAAAGTACAGAGTTCCCATGCCTAATGTCCTCCACCCCAGGCTTCCACCACTATCAACATCCCGTATCGCACCAAAGTGGTTCATTTGTTATAAGTGATGAACCTACTGTCCTACAATTTTGCAAGAAATCCCTCACAAGCTAGCCAAGTTCCATAGAGGTATCTCAGTTATCTCTAAGAGGTACTAAATATAAACTTGCTGTTCTGAAAAGAAAGAATGGGCCCATCTCTAAATGAATGTATAAGGGTTCAAAGAGCCAGTTGGTCCCTGAAGCAGTTTTGTGTATGGCATTACTATTGCAATCATTCTCAAAGAATCCTTCAATAAATGAGATTAGTAGTGAACTCCTCCAAGCAAGACTGTAAAATATTTTGTCTGGAATATAGTTAACTTACTACAACATCATTCACAACTTATAACATTGTTTTTGTTGTAAGGCTCTACTTTGGTTTGTCCTAACCCCCTCCTCCAAAGAAGTATAGATGAATGGAAGTAATGAATACAAAGTATTATAGGAGAAACTACAGTATAGGGGTGAAAGAAAAAAAAAAACGAATTCACAAGTGGCAAAGGTGCTGGGTTTAGAAGGAAGAATGACAGGATGCGGACAGTAATTTAAAATTAATACTGTAATACTCTGGATGCTACCAGATAGTGCTCAATTATTTAAGTAAATCCTATAGTTCTCTTAGGAGTGCTTGTTTTCCTGCAGTTCAACTTAGTGGTTTGTCTCAATAGACAAGGGGAGCCCTCTTTGCTTGCTTTCTAAACTGATGCAGCCTGCTCCATTTCTCCCCCTAATGAGCAAAAAGACTACACTGAAAGGTTCTGCCCAAAAGTGAGCATTTTGAAGCTTAGCTTGATCAGACTCAGAATTTAGAACTTAGTTCAAATGTTAAATTTATATCGTGATAATAAAGTACCACTTCAAAGGCAATCTATATATACATATCTGATAGCCGGAAATGCCTAATAGCAAGAGGCAATTATGAGGGTTTGTTATCTTTGTGGAGATAAGATAAACTAAAGTAAATTCAGCTCCAAAAGCTAACCAGTAATTTTCCTTATAAATGAGGTATGCTTGAAAAATACAGTGAATGTTTAAACTTAAAAAAAAATTACATTAAAAGGCACACTGGCACTAATCCCTCTCAAAATATTTCCACTCATTTCAAATACACTATCCCATCGTTCTTGCCTCTTTCTTTCTTCTTCTTCTTCTTTTTTTTTTGACAGAGTCTCACTTTGCTGTTCATGCTGGCCTTTAATTCACTATGTAGTTCAGGCTGGCCTTGAACTTGCTGTGATCCTCCTGCCTCAGCTTCCCAAATGCTGGGATTACAGGTGTGTGCCACCATGCCCAGTGTTTTGCCATTTTCTAAAGCAGTTCTGGAAGTCCTCTTTTATGTTTAATTAGTCGTGTACTGTGGCTGCCTTGATGTCTTGAACTGATTTAATACTTTTATTTTTCATGGTCATTTTGATTTGGGGGAAGAGCCAGAAGTCACATGGTGCTAGATTTGGTGAAGCCAGTGGGTGAAGACACACCATAATGCTTTTCTGAGCCTGCTCCTAGATTGGATGGCACTCAGCAGCAGCACTGACTATATTTTTGGTCACACCTCCTAAAGACATTCATGAAAAGGGACTTCTAGAACTGCTTCAGAAAGGGGCAAGAATGACAGGGATAAGTGTGCTCAAAGGAAGGGGATTCATGGTGATGTATCTTTTACTGTTTTGACCACATTTTGTACAATGCTGGTACAACTTTTTCTTTTTGGCTTCATATACTCAGGTTAATGCCGGGCAAGATGATTATCTAAGACATATAGATACAGAGTAGAAAAAGGTAGATGGTAAAGTCTAGATAATGGGTATAGAGATAGATGTTTACTGAAAAATTCTTTAAATTTTGCTGTTTGCTTGAAAGTGGTTATAATAAGATGCTAGAGAATTATCTAAATAAAACGGCTGGGAAATTCTCCCAAAATGATAGAAAATATAGTAAAATACTCATTACTGAAAACTTCATTATCATGAATTGAACTATGTTTAGAATACTAAACTATAATACAGAATCGTATTATTCATATTTTAGTATTTTGACAGTGCATTCAATTAGAAATACTATTTAATGTATTCTTAGTCTTCTCTATCTTTGAGTACAATGTAGCTCAGTTTATATAGTTGAGTTTTATTTCTAATACATTAAATGTACATAGAGCTTTTCATAAGAAATCTTGAAATATTATTCAATATACAGACAATACATGTACTCGGGCATTATTTAATGCAATTGTTAGCATAAACTAGGCTTTTTTGCAGTTCATACTACCTTTTTAATACACCAGAGGCGCTTTTTTATTCAAAGATCTAAGTGACTCTCATAGATTAAATGGGAATCCTGTAGTGATTTATGTAAGGTGAAAATGTTTTTTTATGATTGGTATTAGTCCAAATGTCTTTTAAGTCTTGATTTTTTTCCCTCTTGAGCTGGAAAGTAACCCTTTCATTAATCAAAATATTATACCTAGCTCATAAATTAATGAGGGTCCTCTTTAGGAAGTTATGCAAAGGGCCCCAAAGCAATGGCGGCCTTCAAACCTCTGAGGTAGGTAGTAGGGCTGTGTTCTCCTGGGTTAGAAGCCCTACCTGCTTGCTATGTGTCTTCTTGTGGCAGTTTTCTCATTTCCTTTTTCACCTGGCTGTCATCTTTTTCATCTTCAGTGAAGCTGCCTCTAACAATTGTCAGTGGCTAGAAAACTGACAAAGTTAACTTGTAGTACTGGGTTTAAAGTAAGAGCAAAAATACACTTTGAGTAAAAGTCCCAGAGGCTTCCTATAAATTAAACAGTTCAGACACTTGGGTAAATGCATTTTGCTTGCACAATATTCCCCCATTCCTTTACTTCCAAATGTGCTCCAGAGAGTCAAGGTTGCTGGGAAATTATTCCTAGATTATTTAATGTTCATTGTATAATTATTACCAGATTGTCACTATAATTATTTTAAGGATTTTACTTACCGGTAAAAATAAACCTGATACATATTGTAAACCATAAGATGCTCTATTCCTTTAACATTTTTTTAAATTTTAAATTGAGTTTATTGGTACATTCTAGGTAGACTGTAGTTACATTCACTACTGGGATCTTGTACCTCTACATGCCAGGTCTTGGTTCTCATTTTTTCCCCTTGTCCCCACTCTATTCCTTTATCTTAAGAAAAGCAACCTTCCCTGGGAGATCGCCATCTCAGAGAATTGCAGGAGGCCTTCATAAGTCATGACCTATACAGGACAGAGGTCAATACTGCACTATGACAAAGACATCAGTGTTCTTCCCTGGGATTTCCCCCTGCCAGTTTCTTTGAAGAGCACCCTTGATTCCTGGAAGTTTCATATTTACAAAACAAACTTGTTCCTCTTGAGCTGGCTTCTCTGCCCACTTGGAAATAATTACTTAGTTATTATCTTAGTTCAAGTTTGAACTAGGTACCAAATAAATTTGGAGATTTGTACTTGGCCTAGATATCAATTCAATAGTTTTTCTTTGCCACAAAGAATGAATCAGTGCCCTTCGACCTATATCATCTACATATGAAACATTTGATAAATCCTTCTATTATTATCTGCACCATTCGGATATAGGGAAGGGCATTACTTAAGATGCTGGCTAATCCAGACCAAAAAAATGATTAGGACTTTTTGGTTTGTCACGTTTTAGTCTCAACACTACTTAAATGGTGAAAGGCCAGTTTAATTGCATCTATAAAGCTATTTTGAGATACAAGCTGCTAAAGCTTTTCTGCAAGTAAAAGACAACATATTATGACTTCTTTCTTTGCAAAGTTCGTTTTTATTATAAAAATACAGAAAAGCAAAAATAAGAATATAGAAATAACTCAGAGTTTTACTTCTCCAAGTAAACTACCAGTAGTGGCTTTATATACATAATATATAGTGCGGAGACTATGTATGTTTAAAAATCTCACATTTTTATGATTTTACATTAAACTCTTATTTGTTTGATGTGGATGTGATTTTTCACATGGGAAGATTCATGAAGAATTGACTGTGTGTGCAAGTCTGTGTAGCAGGAAGTATATAAAACTATTTTCTCTTTACAGACTCTGATTGAGATTTTTCAAAATATTGGTAATACCAATCTTGCAGATTTCATTGCTGGATTACTTACCATCATCATCTGTATGGCAGTTAAGGAATTAAATGATCGATTTAAACACAAAATCCCAGTCCCTATTCCCATAGAAGTAATTGTGGTAAGTAGAATATATAGTTGGGACAATTTAGAGTTAACAAGGTTGACAAGGGCCAGGGATTTTGCTCAGTAGTGTCGCTGCCTGCTTTGCAAGCTCAAAGTCCCGAGTTCGATTCCTGGTCCCCCCCAAAAGAACAGTTTGACAAGCAGGAATTATTAAAGCCAGTGGAGTTTGGGGCTGGAATGCTGGTCAGTGGTACAGTGCTTGCCTAGCTTATATACAGCCTAGTTTAATTCCCAGCACCATGAAACAAAATACCAAATAAACCCAGTGGAGTTTGTTTTACAGCTTCTTTATTTTATTCAGACAATAGTTGCCACTGCCATTTCATATGGAGCCAACTTGGAAAAAAATTACAATGCTGGCATTGTTAAATCCATCCCAAGTGGGTGAGTATGGTGTTCCTCTTAGAATACTAATATATTAACCCAGTCCTTTGTATTAATGAATGTATTTTATTACAAGCTTCACTTCACCGGTGCTCCTTCAGTAGTCTCATTTGCATGTGACCTTAAACACCCATTTGTGCAAAGCATCACACAGGCACTATATGTGTGTAGATAAAGTTCAAGCCATTTATTTAAAAGTAGCTCCTATGAGCTCTATTTCCTTCATTTTCCCAAAATGTGGCAGGAAGTGTACATTTAACACCAGACTATTAATTTAAATTGGAAAGTATAATTGTAATATAACATATATGCAGTCATGATTGGTAACACTGTGCCATGAACAACCTACTTAAGGAAGCAGGACCATCTGGCCTAAATCTTCACCATTTAGATAAGACAATAATTATGCCTTTTTGTACCTGTACATAATTTGCATCATCTTCAATTGGGGTTTTTATATATTTAGTACTTTGGTGGATTAGAAGCACAAAAGACCGAGATCCCAGCTCTGTCAGTCCAGTTGTGTGGTCCTGGGGAAGTTCTCCTATAGGGGATAATTCAGCAGCCAAAACCTCACCTCAAGCTTGTGAACTGCCAGGGAGAGCTCTCATAAAGTGTGCAGTGTGGACACAGTGCCTTACACTAATGTCATCATATGGGGTTAAAAGGAATTTCGCTTGTAAGATTAACTGATACTATTTGTAATAGACTTGCTGTTAACCAATAAGTACTAGTTTTCCCTCCTTTCATAACAGTGGAGAGGCCTGCACTGGTCTTTATTTTTTCATGTCCTTAATAGAAATTCCTCAGGCAAGCTCATTCCTAGTGCACATAGGAAACCAACTGCCTTCCATTTGATCAATCTTACAATTCTAATATCAGGTCCAAAACATTTGAAAAATGACAATCAGCTACATGGTTCTTAAATTACATCCTGCTGTTTCTCAAATTTACTTTTTTTTTTTTTTTGCTAGAATCAAAAGACCTGTTCTAATACAGACTCCAGGATCCCACCCCAAACCTATTTGGTGGTGCTCTCCAGAGGAGGGGCCTAAGAGTTATTTTCAAAAATACCTTATGTGATTCTTCTGGTCAAGTCAATTTGAAAAACTATATTACAGGATCAACGTTTTGGTAGTGAATTATAAATCTGGGAGGAATTTAAAGATAAAAGATGTAATGTGACTACTTGAATAATGGAGTTTTCATCATAACAGACTGAGGAGTTATAAACAGTTACATAAAAATATATTTCATAGACCCCCTTTGTTAGGCTTCCTAATATGTAACAAGTTATAGGTGGCCTGTAGCACATTCCCTGCCCATAAATCTACATTCCATTTGTTGTTTTGAGGAACTCACTTCTGCTGCATTAAGTTGACCTACCCGGCCCTCTCCCCCTAAGTACAGGTTTCTAGCCTCTCACCTTCAGGTTTCATCGCGTAGAATCCTCTGACAGACCGCTTGTCACTTGAGTCATCTACTTTACCTGCCTGGCCTTGAGGACTAGAAGCTCCCCAAGAGCTGGGCCCTGTTTTGTATTGCTCAGCTGTGTCCCCTTAGCCAGTACCTACCTCACAGGTAACCTCGCAGAAAATATTTGTTGAAGGGATAAAATGTCCAAGCCTGTGCTGTTATAAACAAGCCACAAGAAAGGCTTTTGTTATCTGATCTCACTTGGTGGCACAGAAACAACTCTAATGATATTAACAGACCCAATAAGGAAAGGGTGGTGTGGAGAGATTGGAAGAGAGCAAGGCAGTACCTTGAAAGTAAAAGGACAAAGAGAGGCAGTGAGATTCCACCTTTTGATCCAACCTGCTTCACTCCTCCAATCAGGCTGTGTTAAAAGGTTCCTTTCATCCTATTCAGGATCCAGACCAAGTTAGGATTGCTTGATCCCCAATAACAATGTCCCCTGGGACAGCCAAAAACTATGACTCCATGTCCTTCTTTCCTAGTAAAAATGTACAACCTCTTTCTATCTAGTCAGGACACTAGGACTCACTCCCCGGAGGGCCCTCATTCTCTCACCAGCAACCTCTAATTGAGCCAGTCACATCCTGTCCTTCTCCTTGTGTAACTGATCCTTATCCTGCACTTCTTCATGTGTCCAGTCCTCAGCACAGTGTGGCTCCTCTTTTACCCTTCCGTCATCATGGTTCTGTGTGCTTGTGCGCATGTTTGTTTTAACCCATAACAAGGACTTTCTGTCCTCTGAATTTCAGTCCCTATACTTCCTCCTGCCCCATTGCTCAGCACATCGATAAAGGGTCCTCTGCTCACAGTGCCAGAGATCCCTTCGCTGATATGTTCCCTGACACTGTTTTTAAGTAATGGGCTTTGCAGTTGTATTCAAAAGTATGACACAGGGAAGAAAAGCAGGATAGGATATCAGATGGGGGAATCAACACAGATTTTTTTCTCTGACTGCTCTGTAAAGGCCACTCTCCCTCTTTAGCCAGAGTAGTGACACACTTGCCAGATTACAGGCTGGCATTCTGATCAGCACACCTATTCTCCTTTGTGGGCTCTTTGGCCTTTCAAGGTCCACCCCTCCCATCCTCATTTTTTCAGCTACTCACTCCCATGCCCCACCTTTTGTGCTCCTGGTATTGTCATCTCATGGTCAGGTCAAGGACTAAAGCCAAGGAGGCCCACTGAGAGTAGGATTTGGAGAAAATTATGTCCCCAAAGAGGTCAGGAAATAGTAGAAAGGTTTACCCTGAGGTTATTAGAAGATGCTCAGCCAGGGCCTCAGTTGGCTTGGAGTGACTAATTGACAGTACAGGTGGTGGCAGGAGTAAGGCAGATTTGGATTCTCAGCATAGACGGAGCGCCTGCTGTGTGTGCAGGCACTGGTTACTTATACATGTAATAATCTCATTTAATACGATGCGAAGAGTACACAGTCCCCATTTGACAGCTAAAGAAGTGAGACTTGGTAGGTTTAAATAATACGCCCATGACATAAATTACTCATGGAGTGATTAAGATCCTTTAATCTCAAGTCTTTGCAGTTTATACTTTGTTAACCTACATAATCAAGGATCAGGCACTATTTGGAGTATTAGGCATTGAGGTAAGCAATGGGCTTTAGGTGACTATCAAAATGAAACACTTGGAAGGACTGGAAAGTTATCTTGACTAGCCCCAGTTACCTGAAGTAGGGTTAACTGGGTCTTGGGGAAAAAAATTAGAGCCTAGTTTTAAGAAGTGAGGCCCAAGGTCATATCCAGACTAGGAGGTGATACGATACTGAGACTCTTGAGTGCTGGGTTAGTGTTCCAACACCCAGTCTACCTACAGATGGGGTCCATCATAGAGCCTACACCCAAGGTAAGACGGGATCTGAGGGGTGAAGGAGTCTGAAAATTAACACCTCCCACTTGAGGGGAGAAAGCCCAAGAACTAGACGGAACTAGACAGTTATCTAATATGTAACATTCAGTTTTGGACCTACTAAATGGCTTCAGGCAAATCACCTTTCTAAGACTCTGTTCTCTTATTAACAAAATGAAAAAAGTATTCTCAACATTGTCTAGGATGCTTGCTACTAGTTGTGCTAAAGTTTTCTATGGTTTTCTCTAAGAATTTTACTATGCAACCATAAATGAAGTAGTTGGGAGTTTGTTTTTGTTTTTTGTTTTTTTTATGGCTGGGGATCTCTGGGATTATACCATATGAAAAGTCAGCAAGGCTATGTCTCAAATTTTCATATTTTGGGACACTACCATGATTATAAACTTATGTTAGTTTCTTCTGTATTGTTTTTATTGTTTTTTTTTTTTTTTGAGACAGGTCTTGCTATGTGGTTCAGGCTGGCTTTGAACCCACTATGTAGTTCAGGGTGGCCTTGAACTCACAGCAATCCTCCTATCTCAGCCTTCCAAGTGCTTTGATTACAGGCATGTGCCACTATGACTGGCTTATTTCTTTAATAAGCCAGAGAAGCTCTGGTTTTGTCAAACAATAATTATTTGACCACACAATCATCAGGGTATTTTAGTCACTATGGAGCACTGTGCTAATGAAACAAAGTTAATCATTTTTGGCCTCAAGAAGATTTTAAATGTTATGGCTCTTAACTTTCCACTGAGCTCTTTTAGCATTAGTATGTGTTCTTTGTGTCTTTAGCAGATCTGACATGTAGGGGCAGAGGATTTAGCTCAGCAGTTCAGTGGCCTGCCTTGCAAGTGCAAGTACACGAGTTCAGTCCCCAGTACCAAAAAAAAAAAAAAGAACTGACATGTTTTCATACAAAGTAAACCTCATTAATGGCTAGGTTATTTTTTAAGTTCAAGTTAGAGTGAAACTCTGTAAGGAGAAATCCTAATGTGTATGGCCTTATAGAATGAATGACAACAGATTTATTTTAGAAATATCACCAACTTCAGATGAAAGAGGGTCATAGCAGATGCTGCCATTCAGGCCTCTGACATACTTTTTTTCCCCTCTTGTATCATGTTCTTTTATGTCTAACATGTAGCTGAGTGGATATAACAGTGACGTGGGGAAAAAAGAATCATTAAATCTTTACAGTATTTTTTATTTAAAAACTCACTAGGTTTTTGCCTCCTATACTTCCACCTGTGGCTATGTTTTCTGAGATGCTGACTGCATCGTTTTCCATCGCTGTAGTGGCGTACGCGATTGCAGTATCTGTGGGGAAAGTATATGCCACTAAGCATGATTACACCATCGATGGGAACCAGGTATGGTCATCCTTTTGCTGAAATGGTTTTACAGGGCTGAAAAGAAAAAAAGAATCAGTGGGAAACATTTTGGTGTCAGCTAGCTAAAGAAAGAGTTCGTTTATGCTACCTGTCCTTAGGTGGTCTCTCCCTTGTGCTTGCTAATTAGAAATTATTTTGAAATATTCATACTTTGTATCACTTTGCTTTTTAAGAAATAAGTTGAAGTAATCCTAGTTTTAAAAACAGCTAATTCAGTCAGGTTATAAATAATATTCAAAGTTAATATATTAAGTCAGAACAGGAATTGTTCAGATAACTCAGTATTCTCCTGATAATTCTTGTGATTTTTTTTTGTTTACTCATTTCTAATTTTAAAGTTAATATTTTATTTTATTTTTGGTACCCGGGATTGAACTCAGGACCTTGTGTTTGCAAGGAGGCAGTGGAGCCCTGAGCTAAAACCCCTGCTCTCCTGGTAATTCTTTTCATGGCAGCTGTAATATAACAAAACAGGGCAAAAGACACCATTAGTAGTAGATGCCACTACTTTATGTGCAATTAATTTATACTGGTAGTTTTTGTAGGCATAGGATACATTACCAGGTGGGCTACTCTGACTCGCTTGCAAATCTGCAAGTTTGTTAATGTATAATTGTGAAAACAGCAGGGCAATGACAACAGCCAGATGACTAGTAATTTCCCAGTATAATAGCTTAATCATGAAGTATATTAGCTAGTTATAATATACTTCATAGCAAATACTCAGCCACAGAAAAATGTTTTGTGTATATGAGTTGCAGATACACTATTCACTAGGCAGTGAAAAAAACATTTATTTTTTTACAAGTATATAACACATCTTAATTCATTTCCTCTTCCTCTTTCTTGGTTGCTTTCCCATTTGCCAAAGATCTGTCTTTCTATTTTCTATTGTCTGTCTTTTATTTTGCTCTTTAAATTATTTATACTTCCTTCGGGTTTCTCAAGCCATGTGATATTGAAGCTTGCGTGTCTGATTTATTTCACTTTACCTATGGTCTACAAGGTGCAAATGACTCAAGTTATCTTTCTTTATGGCAGGGTAGTACTGCATTGTACCACTACATTTTCTTTATTTATTCATCTGTTAATGGACACAGCTCACTTTCAAGATTTAGCTATTATAGGGCTGGGGATTTAGCTTAGTGGTGCCACCACCTGCCTCGAAAGCAGAAGGTCCTCAGTTTGATCCCTGGTACAAAAAAAAAGATTTTGCTATTGTGAATTGTGCTGCTATAAACTATAAACATTGGTATTTAATTCTTTTGAGAAGGTACCTAGAAAGAAAATAATCAGGACCAATGGAATTCCTAATTTTAGTACCAGGGATTGAACTCAGGACCTTGCAACTTTGCGAGGCAGTCATGGTGCCACTGAGCTAAATCCCTGACCCTAGGCACCATTTCTTCTCAAACTTAAAAACAACTGACAGCAGTGAGGGCTCTCTTAGGTTTTATGAAGCCCAAACTCCTGATGTCTTTTAAGATTCCCCACACTTTTTTTTTTATTCTGACTTAATTTTTTATTGTTGTTATTTATGTTATTACACTGAGGTCGCTTTTCACCTCCGGAGGGAGTAACTTTTATTTGCTAAGCTTTAATCTTGACTAGGATGATTCAGGATGAATCCATAAGCATACAGATTCTCACGGATGGTAGATGACATCCATTCCTCTCTCCTTTTGGAGGGTTTCAGAAAATAAACCTAAAAAGGAGGTAAATCCTTTCTTATTCTAACCATTTCATTTACCATGAGATAAACAGAATTGTTGTTGTATTTTTAAATAAAAATCATAAATATCAATAAGTATTAACCATAAATTAAGATGAGAATTAATATCTTAGAGGTGGAGTCACTATGAGGCCATTTTTGATGGCTTTGTTGAATGATAACAGGAGCATCATTCCCCTACTTGTCCCATTTCAGATACAGATTGAATCTTATTTGTATTCTCTACTGAAGGCTGTCAATCTATTTTCTGGTGCTATAACAGATTACAGTACTAGAGATCAGGACATTTATAAAGCCAGGAGGATTATTTGGACTCAGGGTTTGGGAATTCTGCCCGTCTTACAGATTCACTGAGTTATACCGAAGTCCTAACTCCAGCCCACACTTTTAATAGTAAAAATTAAGTTGGACCATCAGGCAGGGTCCTGGGCGTCGAAGTTTCCTTTAACATATTTCTTTAAACCCTGGTGAGGAGCTTGCAGAGATTCTATTTGTAGCATCACGGTCATCCAGTCTCTCTCCTAGGAATTCATTGCCTTTGGGATCAGCAACATCTTTTCTGGATTCTTCTCTTGTTTTGTGGCCACCACTGCCCTGTCCCGCACAGCCGTCCAGGAGAGCACTGGAGGAAAGACACAGGTATGGAACAACAGCTTTAAACCAGGGACGGTGGCTCAGAAAGTCTTGCACAAGATCTGAGTAGTACAATGAACCTTTGAGAAGAGAGGCATTGTGCTTTGTCATCTCATCCAACTTGAGCCTATTCATCTCTTTGACTCATCCCTCATCACAAACCTCTTAAAAAGCAACATTTACATTTCCCCAAGGTGGCAGTTCCCAAATCTCTTTGTGTCACTGCTCACGTGACAAATAATTCTTTCCTTGCTTTCCTAGGAATGTCACAGCTGCCAAGGCAACAATAATGATGAAGAATGCTGATTTTTATTAGTTGGTTACCTGGGTTGTGGGGAGCAAGGGCCTAGTAACATGACTTGGAGGCTTTAAGTTCTTACATTTTTAAGAGAGTGAGAAGTTTATTCACATTTCTTTAACAAGGATCAGGACCTTGCTGCAGAGCCTTTGGTCTCATTGAACAATAGTTTACTGGTCAAGTTTTGTTGATATTGTTGTAACATTTTGGCATTTCTGCATGAGTAAGATTTTTGTTCTTGAAGTTCTGAATGTGGATTGAGGCTTGCCTTTTAAATGTAGCTTTTGGTTGTTGCATTTAACGAGTGACCACAAAACCAGTGTCCCAGCTAACCTCTGGTATAATCCCTTGTGTAGTTGGCCAGAAAGCCCAGAAGTGGCTCCCAAAAGCCTCTCTTTCCAGCTAGACACAGAGTCAGACAGACCAAGTCAGTGGCCTTGGGCTAGTGAAATATTCAGGACTTGTGTTCCTGATGTGCTTCCACGGTTTTTCCCTCCCAACACAGAAACAACTTTTATTTGGGTGTAAAAAGTGTGTTGGGACTATAAAGGAGAACTACAAACCCAAATTAATCAGCATGAAAAAGTATAGTCTTCAAATAGGGTTTTATAAAGGCAGAGACACAAATAAGTATGAAAGAGAATAACTGAAAAGATGAATGAGTCCAATGGTGGGCTGGTAGGGAAGAGAGAGCTTTAATTGTTTCCATGGTACAGTGATGTTCCTCTCTTATTTATAATGAATCTTGTGACAGATTTGGAAAAATTAGTCTCTTCTAGAAAATTTTTGGCTCCTTTGAAACAAAAAAGTAATATTCTCAGAACTTTTCTTAAAAGTTTTTTTGGGAGGGCAGACATTTCTAGCTCTGAGGGAGCAGGTAAACCAATGCAGTCCATCCCGAGACAGAAATCTGCTGCCACGGGGAGGAGGTCAGTGCTGATTTCCAAAGTGGGAACTATTTCAGGCCTTAGCTTTCAGGAGTGGGAGTTCTTGTTGCTGGGGTTGGCATTGACACTCTCTAGGGCACAGGTCCTAAGTGGGTGCAGGAAGTCCCTCCCAAACTACTGGTGTCTGTTCTGCTCTTACCTCTGGACCCAAATAAGCTGGCTGCCCCAGAATGTGCATGTGAAGTGACCTTGTTGACAAAGGTTTAGGGGATAATAGTATTCTGGTAAGCTAATATCCTCTGCCACACACTGGTATGTATTATATTTAGGAATGAAGGATGACAGGATTTCAGCACTGAAGAAGGGAACAAGTGCAGAAATGGCTTGATCTTTAATTACTGAAATGCATACTAAGTTTTAGGGTTAAAAGTCTAAGTGCCTGACTGAAATCCAGGGACTTGTGACCAGTACATTGGCAGGTCTTTTTTTTCTCCTCTCTTCTTTCTCTTGGCTCTTCTCTTCCTTCACCACCTCCTCCTTCTCCTTCCTCCCTCTCCCTCTCCTTCTTCTCTGTCTTTCTGTGGCACCAGGGATTGAGCCCAGGGCTTCCTTTCCACTGAGCTACATCTCCAACCCCTTTTATGTTTTTGTTTATTTTTTTGAGACAGAGTCTTGCTAAGTTGCTTAACGGTCCAGGCTGGGCTCAAACTTGTGATCCTCTTGCTTCAGCCTCCCGCCATGCTGGGATTATAAGCATGTGCCACCATGCCCAGCCTGGTGTCCTGGCTGTATCAAAACTGTATCCTTCTCATAGGTGTGTCCTAAGGATTCAATAAGAAGTTGTAAAGCCCTATTACATACTGGTCAATGCTAATTTTTCCACCAGGTAGAAGAGAATGCTAGTGCATATGGTACATGTACTGTGCCTAGCACAGAAGCTCCCAGCATGTATTTACTGAAGGAATGAACAAAAACATGCATGTTGGTGGATATCAACTGTTTCCTGTACTTCAATGGAGTATAAAGAGCTAAACACTGCCCCTATTCTTCCTCTTACCTTCATGAGTCCTACTGACTCATGGAAAAGTAATTCTTATTTCCAAGTACTCTGTAGCTCTGATTGCCCTCTCACTTAACAGGATCATTAATTTGCCAGTAATTAAATCTGCTTATAAAGTCTACAGAGTTTCCAACAAACCATCTGATATAGTAAGTACAAGTAATTGAGGCTTCATGTTTCAATGTCGTGACCAAAATTAGCTGTGCCCCAGTAATGGGAGGCTCCTTATTACATGCTTGTCCAACAGGGAGCCACTCTTGCCTGAGTTGGGCAACTCACTGTGGTTCTGTACATAATCTCCATGTCCCTCACCAATTCACAGAGCCCTTTATCTACAGTGTGATGCAAACATTCATTAAATATTGGTTGGCTAGCCGGAAGAAAGAGAGAGGGGAAAGAAAGAAGGATACTACCTTCTTTGCTTAGAAAGGGGAGGGGTAAATGCACCAAGGTGCTGGGAACCTGGAGTTATGGTGCTAGGAAGAGCACAGAGCTGGAAACTAGGTATACAGAGTGAGCCTTTTGAAAGTACATCATATATAATAATATAGCCCCATGCTAGCTCAACCATAATCTGAACAGAAATGACCGATTTGCCATATGGAGTGTTTTGTTGTTGTTGTTTGAGACAAGGTCTATGTAGTCCAGGCTGTCCTTAAGCTCATTATGCAGCCTAGGTTGACCTCAAATTTGCATCAACCCTCCTCCCTCAGCACCCCAAAGTGCAGGGATTATAAGCATGAGCCATCACACCTGGCTGACATGAATGTTTTCTAATTTTCTTTTTACATTTGCTGTGCCTGCCTCCTATAACTCACACAGCCTGATTAGGCAGTACCTATGCTCAACATGATCTATCCTGTGGCTTTCTCTCTGACTGCTTTGCTTCTGGTTCCCTGTCTCTTCTGTTTCAGAGCTTCTAGTCTTCCTTGGTCATGCCACCACTGTCTCAACAGAGAATTCGTTGTTCATCTGCTAGAGCTAGAGAATACTCCCCACCCCCAGCCTCTCTCCTATTTATGGATCTTAGCAGAGCTTACTTTGCCAATCAAGGTAACATTTCTGAGCTTCCTTTACTCTGTCATTGCCCCATCACTGCAGCTGCCTAGGAGCAAAGTCTGAAGCCAGCATCTATGCAACTGCCACAAGAAACAGGAGACAGAGTCTTGTCTCTCAGTGTGTCCGTATGGTACCATGAATCTGCAGTTTGATGGGTTAAATCAATGTTCTGAGGCTTTGCTGGGAACCATGTGCTACAAGTACAATGTGTTATCACAGTTGCTATTATGGCTGCTGCTTCAATAATGCAGTAGAATTGGATACGTACCACGAAAATTTATTTCCCAAGAACGGGACAATAATCTCTATTGTTGGGGAAAGAGGTGGTCTGTGTTTCATGGCATGGCAAATAACTAAAAGGTCAGCCTCCTAAATGGACACCAAAACTAGTTGTAAGATGTCCAAATGAAATCCATATCAAACTGGTTTTATTTTAGCAAGCTCAGTCTTCCTGTTCTCTTTATCTGCAATAATGCATATGCATACACACGCACACACACACACACACACACACACACACACATTTCTCCATGTATGTGTTTTCCATTTTTGTTTAGTTTTGTATAGTCTTACCAAATAATGCTCATTTCTCTGTACCATGAGTAGAAGGGAGAGTCAGGGAAGGATCCAGTGTGCCTGTGGTAGGTACATATGTGGCAAGCTGGAAGACACAGAGGACAAACCCGCTTTATGCAAGGTGTATGTCTTTCAGATTGCTGGCATCATTTCGGCTGGGATTGTGATGATCGCCATTGTTGCCTTGGGGAAGCTTCTGGAACCCTTGCAGAAGGTATAAATCTGTTTCTCTGTGCAATGACACAGTTCCGTTTCACCACTCTGCTACCAGAGAAGTAACAGGAGATTTAAAAATCATCACATAGAAAACCATTCTCCCAAATAACCCAGCCTTTCTGGTCTCTCCTGGCAGTCTGTCTTGGCAGCAGTTGTAATTGCCAACCTGAAAGGGATGTTTATGCAGGTGTGTGACATTCCTCATCTGTGGCGGCAGAATAAGACTGATGCTGTAAGTCACCCACCACCCATTTCCCTCTAAACTAAGATTTGGCTCTACATGTTTCCCTTTCATATCATGATGACACTCCCTCTTTTCTAAGTCGAACTTTGGAAATCCCACAGCAGAAATTAGAACTGCGTGAATAAACCAAAGTCTTGACGAGAACTGCATATTGTGAAGACCCTGTTTCTCTAGGAAGATTCACTGCCAGGAAGAATACCACGTGAGGCTCATATACCCTTGCCCTTCTGAAGCCAAAAACCAAACACACTGTATTTAAAATCTGTTTTAAAAGCACCAGCAAAACACCAAACAAGCAAAAACAAAAACCCATTCCAATTTTGTGACTAAAGTATTCTTCACAGCTGTTATGAGGAATTGTAAAAACCAGAAGCCAGATATTTTAGACTCCTGCACTAATTGAGCCCAGGATACATAAAAAGAATAAGCAAGCTTCCTATCTATTGCCAGGCAGAGACTGCTAGACAAATTAAGTGGAAAAAGAGACTAGAATAGAAACATTGGGGGAAAGTCCGTGTGCTTTCACACCTGCACATGCACATGCGCATTCACACAAAGAAATATAAGTAGATACAAGTGGGAAAGGATTTGGGGAATGGGTGGAGAGAGGAGAGGGTTGTGAGCAAGATTGTTTTCACTGTACATCTTTAAAGTATTCATTCCCCTGGTATTAATTTAAAGTATTAATTCCCATGTGAATATATTGCCTATTCAAAACTTTAAAAAGAAATAAAATGGAATAATTGGTCTTACTTGGCAAGGTCAGTTTCCAGCTTCACTTAAACATAAAACGACTAAAACTAGAGTATTTTTTAAAAGTTGTAATTTGTGGGTAACTGATCTTATTTTTTTAATCTTAATTTTATAAGTACTCTATCATTTGCCATTACCAGATAAATTAATATAATTCTTTTCATTTCCATTTCCCACCTAGGTAATCTGGGTGTTTACATGCACAGTGTCCATCATTTTGGGGCTGGACCTGGGTCTACTAGCTGGCCTTTTATTTGGACTATTGACTGTGGTCCTGAGAGTTCAGTTGTGAGTACAATAAAACCCAGATTTCCTATGAACAGGACAATGTACCCTAAACTTTCCTATGCTGTTTTGATAAATGTAGTGAAACCACTTTCCTTTCAAAATAGATACTCCATATTGAGTGATTCTATAAAGAAAGCACATGGTGCTTTGCAAATATTATATTTAATCTTCAAAAATATCTTCTGAAAAGATTTAGTTATCTCAATGTACAGGCAGAAGTTTTAAGCTCAGAAAGGCTAAAGACTTTCCCTCAGGTCACACATTAACTAGCAGAGCTAAGATTTGAACTCAGATTATCTCACTCAAAATTTCTAAATTTCATCACGTTTCTCAGTTGCACTCTCCTTTTAGGCCCAGGTAGACCAAGAGACACATGGCTCAGCCAGAGTGAGGTTGCTCCTCTAGTTCGTTCTTTAGATGAGATGAAGGGTGCCAGGCATTGGGCCTAAGGCTTGGGAACAAGACAACTGCTAAATCTATCACAGCACATTTTTCTCTTTTGAAGTTTATAACCCAAAATTATGCAACCCAGAACAGGAGAACTTTAGAACTGTTGATTATAACTAGGATTCATCCAAATCTCTCAAATAGGGAATATATCCAATGAATAATGCAATTATGTGAAGTAAACATGATTAGTTCATGTGCAAAGTGAAAGCAGCACAGGCATGGGTTAATTAAGGGAAAACAACCTGTGAGGACTAGTGAGGGAGACTGAAGAGGGATTTTGTTGTTGGTTGTTGGTTTTGTTTGGACTCTCAAGAGACTTTGGTTTCATGCCCTCCTGAGTCTAGAGGGGAATGGGACACTAGGGCGGAATGAGGTCTCTCTCCTTCCCCAACTCACTATTGTCTTTCTTGACTTTTGGCCTCTTTGCCTGTGCTTGGGCCACCAAGGAGAGAAGAGACCTAGAAAAACGTCAGCAGCAATGTCTTCACTGCGCACAGGCTCACCCCTTTGTGTCGCTACCTAGCTCTCCTTGACCCTTTCTTCCTCCCTATGTTTACATGTTGGCTCTGCCCGAAAGGCCTGTGGCTTTCTGCCTCAGCACCCTTGGTGCCCAGAGTCCTGAATGTTCATGAACTCCCCAAATGCCCATCTGCTATTAGGAAATAACTCAGAAATTGTTCAGTGTCTATTTTACCTTATCTGGGTGTGGTTGAGGGAGAAGGGTTTTGGACAGAAGGACTAACGTATGAGCTTTAAGTTAAAAATCAGCACACCACAGCAAGCTAAGGAAAAACCTGGTGGCACATTTTTGCTGCTGGTTTGGTAACCAGGCCTTTAGCCAACAAAAAGCAGTGTTCCGCACAGTGTTTAATTTCCAGTAATTACAGTGCTGATTCAGAGAGCACAATGCTGAAAGGACCCCAAACAGACAATCTTTCTTCAGGAGCTGCACTTAGCGTATGTCCCTAGTCACACTCGAAGAAACATGGAATTTATCTGATTGCATCAGGAACAGGAAATCAACAGTCTGGTTGACAGGACAGACTTATTTCTGGTCCTCTCACTCTGCTAGTTCTATAAAAAGAGACTAATTTGATCATCTGAAAACTCTCCATACTTCATCAGGAAGTTACAAATAAGTGACAGTCACCCAAGACCCTCAGCAGAGGCTGTACTGTCCCTTACCTCAGGGCCTTTTCAAACTTTTCCAAGTCTCAGTTTATGTACTAACAAAAATAAGGATAACACAACTGACTTTCTGGGGGTTAGGGTAAGCTCTTTGTTATATTGTAAGTATCATGCTCATTATTTCTCTCACCCATCAGAAGACAGTCACAGTTACTTCTTCCTTCCCTTGTTCCACGCAAACACCAGCTGTTCACTTCAGAATTAGTTGCAGGAAAATGTCGTCTGCTATACTCACTGAGCCCCAAACAGCAGAATGAAGGCTTTGCAGCGATTTCTTTTTAATCCTCCCTCTCACTCCTATGCTGGGGATCAAACCCAGGGCACTACAAATGCCAGGCATACACTCTACTGCTGAGCTACGTCCCCAACATCCCCAGGCTGCTTACTATTTTTGGTGACAGGGCCTTACTAAATTGCTCAGGCTGATTTGGAACTCGTGATCCTCCTGCCTCAGCCTCCCAAGCAGCTGTGATTATAGGCATATCTCACTGTACCTGGCTATTCGTAACTGTTTAGTCCAAAATACGGCTGTTTCCAAAACAAATTCTGATGTTACTTTTTCCTCTTTTAGTCCTTCATGGAATGACCTTGGAAACATCCCTAGCACAGACATCTACAAAAGTACCAAGAATTACAAAAACGTAAGTGTCTTTTTGAGACATCTGCAGAAAGAAGGTTTATTCACCTACAATTTTAGGAGCTACATGTTTCTCCTTTAGGTACAAGATAGCCAAGGATGGAGGGAATCCTATTAGTCCACTAAGTGTTTTGACTTGGTGTACCTTCTGACAGACTGAGATTTCAACACTAGCTGCAAATCACATTAATGTAAAAATCATTGTAAGAGAATGGTGTTCAATCAATATTTTTTCTGCTATAATCCTTAGCCTCTATGAAAAAAGATGCCTGAAATCTTCATATTATTTATTCAGTTCTAACAAGAAATTTTCAAGTTTTCTGTCACCAAATTATTTGATATTTTGCTTTATCATTGGAATTGGAAGAAATAATATATGATACAGGAAGTGAAAAACAAAGAAGTTAAATATCCCACTGATGGGCTTGTGTTGCTTGTACATAAAACTGTTTAGTGATCACTAGGGAAACAAAGATGAAAAGTAAATTTGGAAAACACAAACTTAGGAAAAACATAAATTATTTCAATGTGAACCCTAGTATGTTGTAGTCTAATTTTGCCTTAATATTAAAATATTATGGGACTCTAAACCTGGAATTCCAGCTGTTACTTAAGTACATCTGTATGTACGTATGTATTTATTTATTTCAGTACTAGGGATCAAACTAAGGACCTTGCACTTGCCAGGCAGGTGTGGCAGGCACCACTGAGCTACATCCTGGGCCCAACTGTTAACTTAATTTCCACAATCTTTTTATGTTGAGCCAAATGCTAAAAAGAGCTAAAATGATTTTAGAAAAAAATTTGGCACTGAGACAGGGAAAGTACTCTGGGCTGAGTTTGGGCATTCTGAATTCTCAGCTTCTTCTTGGCGAGATTTGCCCAAGACACTCCGCCTCTAGGGGCCTCAATTTTCTCATCTGAAGGGGTGGGAATAAAACTGCTGATTCCTAAAGACCCGAGAAGTCTGTGAGTCTATGGGTTCTACTTATGGCATGGCCACTGTGTATGAGTACAAACAAGCAGATGACACTTCCTACAAACCTGGATTTTGCTTTTTTTAATTTTTGCTGTCCAGAAGAATTTTAGTGAAATCAGGAGGATCAGTGGTATGAACTAGAGACAAATTGCATCTCTATTTTGAACCTCGGTTTCTTTACCTGGAAATCAAAGGGGTGAAAATTGCTAAGACCCTAAAATGACCTTCTCTGGAGTTTTGTAAATTCAAAAGTTGTTAAGAAAAGTTGAATGTTGTTGCCCAGTTCCAAGCAATTGTCACCCCACTCATTGTAAAATAGCTATTTCATTGAAGATCTGAGGTCTAGAATTAACTTTTTTTTTTTTTTTTTCAAATGCCAGATTGAAGACCTTCAAGGAGTAAAGATTCTTAGATTTTCTGGTCCTATTTTTTATGGCAATGTGGATGGTTTAAAAAAATGTATCAAGTCCACAGTAAGTATTTTATTCCTGGAAATGTGGTTTTTAACTTGAGGTCTCACTCTCTTATTGGGTTTCCACTGGGAACAAGATGCCATGGTCTCTTTCACTTTGTGTAGGGCATGCAGAATTAAATTATAACAGGCTTTCCCTTTTAAAAAATGTAGTTTGATACAGCACTCTGAAAAAAGAGATAGAAGAGGATATAAGAAAATGGCAAGATATCCCCTGCTCCTGGGTAGGAAGAATCAACATAGTGAAAATGACCATACTACCAAAACTGCTATACAGATTCAGTGTAATGCCAAATGAAATTCCAACATTATATTTCACAGAACTAGAAAAAATCATCCAAAAATTCATTTGGAACCAGAAAAGACCTAGAATAGCAAAAGCCATCCTAGGCAACAGAGACATGGCAGCAGGTATAACAATCCTCAATTTGAAACTATACTACAAAGCCATTGTGATAAAAACAGCATGGTACTGGCAAAGAAACAGACCTGAGGATCAGTGGAACAGACTAGAAATACAAAAATAACTGCAGATGTACTTAGCTACCTCATCTTTGACAAAGGAGCCAACCATCCTCACTGGAGGCAAGATAGTCTCTTTAATAAACGGTGTTGGAAAAACTGGATTTCAACCTGCCAAAGATTAAAACTAGACCCTTATCTTTCACCATGCACTAAACTAAAATCGAAGTGGATTAAAGATCTAAATATTAAAATAGAAACACTAAACTTGGTGGAAGATCAGTTAGGCAGAACTCTTGAAGACATTGGCATAGGAAAAGACTTTATGAACAAATCCTCAGTAGCACGGGAACTAGCAGAAGGAATCAACAACTAGGATCTCTTCTCATTAAAAAACATTCTGCACTGCAAAAGAAACCATCAACAGAACTAAAAGACAGCCTACAATGTGGGAAAAAATTTTTACCTGCTGCTCCTCAGACAAAGGGCTCTCATCTAGAATATATAAAGAACTCAAAACAATCAGCCCCCCCAAATATAAAGACCCAATTCAAAAATGGGCATCTGAAATGAACACACATTTCTGAAAGAAGTAAAAGTAGCAAGTAAATATATGAAAAAATGTTCCACATCACTGGTCATTCGAGAGATGCAGATAAAAACAACACTGAGATTCCACCTCACCCTACAAAGAATCGCTGTTATCAAGAAATCAACCAATAACAAATATTGGAGGGGTTGTGGGGAGAAAGGAACCCTTCTCCATTGTTGGTGGGAGTGCAGACTGGTGTGACCACTATGAAAATCAATATGGAGATACCTCAAAGAGCTGGGATTAGAGGTTCCATTTGACCCAGCCACCCCTCTGCTGGGTATCTTTCCAAAAGAATTAAAAGAATCATATCACAGTGATATATGCGCACCTATGTTTATAGCGGCACAGTTTGTAAAAGTAAAACTTGGAAAGAGCCCATCTGCCCATCTGTTGGAAACTGGATAAAGATGTGGTTTTTCTATAAAATGGAATACTACTCAGCCATAAAGAATGAGAAATTATATTCATTCATAGGAAAATGGATACATATTGAGGATATACTCCTAAGTGAAATAAGTAAGTCACACACAGGTAAATACCGAATAGATTCTCTGGTGTTAAAAACTATAATAGTACATAAGATCCTAATGATAATTGACAATGTGAAATAGGAAGAAAAGGGCTAAAGGTGTAGGGAAAGTGGGAAGGGTAGGGGAAAGGGAATAAGGGAAAAAATATGAGAAAATGAAAAAATGTAAATAAAATGTTTGTAAATGGGGGAGGAGGGGGTGAAGGGAGGGCAGGGACAAGGGGAAACAATGAGAACCAAGACCTGTTATGTAAAGGTACAAGATCCCAATAATGAATGTAACTGTACTGTATACCTAAAGTGTACCAATAAACTCAATTAAAAAATGTAGTTTGAGGATAGGGGGGAAAAAAAAGATTTGCACTCTACTGAGGGTGAGAATCCAGACAGTAGTAACTGCCAGACAAAAAACGCTGAGTCCAGGCCAACGTGAGCTCCCAAATACTGTGTTAACTTCCAAGTGCAGTTCCCACAACGGGCCGGTGACCCCAGAGCGGCAGGGAAGCTCACCACCACTGGTCGCGGTAGGAGCCACGCGGTACTGGTACTGATACTGGTACTGGCGCGCAGAGGCGCTGTGCACAGATAACCAGCACAGGCAGACAGGAGAAAGCAGCTGTCCTCTAAGACGCCGCACGGTACAGAACAATGCCACTGTTCCAAGCATTTTTATTTGAAAATGGTTATGTTCATTAAAAAAAAAAAGTATTTCTCCTAACATGTACTAGGTTTATTGTGGTTATTTTAAATTAACACTTTTAAGTGCGCACGGGGGGG